CCAGCGCCGGGAATTTATACAAAAGGATGGAAATCAAGATCTCGGAGTGGTAGCTGCACTATCAGGCTCACTGCAGTGCTGTTCGCAATAGCCAAGGTGTGGAAGCAATGGAATGTCCATGACAGAAAAATGGATAGAGCAGATGTGGTCTATACACACACAGTGGAATGTTACTCAGCCTTAAGAAAGAAGGGAATTCTGTCACATGTGACAACATGGAAGGACAGCCTCAAGGACATCCCGCTAAGTGAAATAAGCCGGTCACAGGAGGACACCCACCCGCATGGTTCCGTCTACAGGGGGCATCCAAACCCGTCCGCTGCAGAAAGCGGACGGCGGCTGCCAGGGCCTGGGGCAGGGCAGGGGGGAGCTGCCGGTCACAGGGTATGAATCCCAGTGAGGCGCGACATTGTGCTCATCGTTCATCGTGTGCTGCTCCCTTATACGCCTGTTAAGAGGAGAGCGCTCAAGGGGTTTTTCACCACATGGAAAAAAAAAAGAAAAAGAAAGAAAATATATGGTGGGTGTGGCACACTTGGTAAAAACGGGGACTGAGGAAGGGGGAAAATCAACTGCTTCTGAAGCTTCTGAATTTGAGCACGAAACAAAGAAAAGAAGCTGAGCACAGTATTTTTCTCAGTGGGCCCCCGGAACATTATTCCGAGAGACGGTGCATTTTAGAAGCGCTCACGATCAAAAGAATCTGTGAGAGACTGCTCAGTGTCTCCTCGGACCTTCACCCTGAAGATTAGCATATAAAAGATCCTAACAAGTCCCAGAATAAAGCAGCCTCGTGACGTTCCTTCAAGAAAGCATTTCCAAACTCATTTGACTCAGAAAAAGGTTTTTCTGCAAAAACAGATATGAAGATCCCAAGGGACTCGTGCTTTCTGAAGAGCGACTTAGGAAACGGTGGTTTAGGGGAACTAATTGTAGGGATGGAACCCTGCCTACTCAGAGCTCCTCCTCCTATTTCAAAAACCCAATCAACCCTCTTTCTCCCTATCTTGCCTGAAATATTTAACTCCTTTTATCATGAGAAACAAACAAACCCACAAAAAACAATCAAGCTAATAAGCTTTTTCCAGAAGAGCTCGAACATTAGGCATTTGTGGTGTCATGGAATTTACTTTTATTGGTGCCGTTGCATATTTCACAGGTTTCAAAAGCACTGTCATTAACACATACACACATCTTCCTTCAAGCTATTTATCCAGCGGTACAGTCAAGACTAAACCCAGATTGGCTGGTTGTGGTCTAGTATCTTTCGATTAGTAAAAAGGTGTCTCTGGGCTGAGACTATAGGCCATGTCTACTGCAAGATGCAGATCAGGTAATAAACATCTGATTTACACAATTCTAGGAGACAACATGACCAAGCTGTGTTAAATAATAGTGTGTGTGCGTGTGTGTGTGTGTGTGTGTGCGCGCATGTGTGTATGCGTGCACATGCATATAGTGGGGACCTCTCAGATTTTTATAAAGCAATTTTTTCATACAAGTTAAAGCATATGTTTTTGTTAGATGGGGGAAGATTAATTGACTTACAAAATTTCTCAGAACGCCACAGAATAGACAAGGGGATAGAAACATGGCCATGTAGAAAGATTACTCATGTTAGTATGATCCCATTTTTCACCCTTTTCTACGTAAGTGGGCTAGACTGGAGCTATAAAAAAAGCTGAGCTCTCACAGCCTGGGCGTTCCTTTGGAGCCACTTCTAAAAATACCACAGAAATGGACAGAATGAGAACAGGGGACCGCTTTTGCCCTACTGCACTGAAATACGTTAAACTGTTCAATTTTCCACAGAAACGCCGTTCAAAGGAATATAAGCAAAATGTAATCCTAACCTTCAACTGGATTTCAAGTTCAAAGTCTGTTCATTATCATAGAAGAGATACTGGTAAAAACATCTCTTTCTAGACTAAAGAAACCACCTTCAATTCTTGAAATGCAAAATGCACCCAGGTGTTCATCTCTATAAAAGGAGCTTACGGGACTCTACATGTGTGTCTTGACTAACATCTAAGCAGCATGTTGGTAGACTGGCACTTACGTTAATTTTTTTTTTTCCTAGCGTCAAATTCAACTACTTACTCTTATATTAAGGATTCTTAGTGGAACTGAGTAGGCATTTTCAAAGGGGAAAAAAAGAGCATCAACAATTAGCCTTGGTCATAGGATTGGGCAATAGCACAATTTAAATAGGCCAGGCTCTACAATAACACAAATCGACACCTGTACAGCCTGATACCTTTCCGAATTGACTCGTCTATCACTGTTCACCTGGGCAATAAACGATAAGATAGTTAGGCTATTTCTTATTACTATGAGACAATAAAATGAAGCCTCTAAGAGGTTAAGAAACTTGCCCAAGGTCAAACCAAGACTGGGAGAATTCCCAAGCCAGGACACTTTTCTACTATAGCCATGCTTTTCTGGGTGGTGAGGATCGGAGTGGGTGTGGGGTATAACCCCCGTTAGGTACTTAAGGGCATACCCCATAGACCACCCCTTCCCCCCAGTAGTGTTTTAAGGATCCTCTCTTACCCACGGGAGTGTATCACGTGCTCATGTGTGCTAAGGCAGAAGAAACATTGAGAGCTGCCATACCGTGTGCTACACAACCTTGACATGGCCAACACAGGGACTATCACCACCTGGCTGGCAGCTGGTGAATATGAGCCAAAAGATATGCTTAATGTAACCCTTAAAGGATTTATTTCAAGATGTTAATTTGGAGTTGCACTGGCTCATACTGACTTGAAAAAAGGTGTTCCATGAAGACAGCATAAAAGTAAAAAGCAAAGGCAAAACAGCGATTAAAAAAAAAAAAAAGCACAGGGAAATTTCGAACTCATTTTGTTAATGTTCAAAATAACATACAGACGTACTGGAAGATCCTGATAAACTCCAGCTGTGCCCTGCTCAGTGCAGAACAGGTTACCTAGACGTATGTGAACGATGGAAACATGGAAAGCTCACGGTGGGACCTGTGACCGCACGTGCGGGTTCCTAACCCAGGCCTGTGGGAAAAGCACTTCCTGGAGTCAGTGGGTCTGATCAAACCCACTCACTCATCTGAAAATCAGTACTAACGTGTACCCACTCCGTCCCAAGTATTAAGGGTCAGTAACTAACATGACAGACAGTCAGTCATGGCCGCGGGGACTGTGTGGTCTAACGGGACCTGTAAGCGGTGATCCATCATAGCAGTGCTTTCGTGCCACAAAGGGATGGCAGCTGGCACTGGGACAGTGATCTATGGGGGAGAAATAAGCGCCACGAAAAATATTACCGTGACGTTGCGACCATAGGATAAGGAAAAGTTATGCTAATTAGGCAGGCAGAGGACACAGCATCTTTATTAATCCCGAGAAAGAGAGGGAAAAGGCCAGTTGTGACTGGCTGCAGCCACGGAAGAGAGAGCTCAGGCAGCAGAAGAGTGTAGTCCACACAGGGGCATGGGGGCCATGGGGGCCATGGAAGGTGAGAACGCTCAGCTTTGTCCTGAGGGCAGTGGGACAGAATCAAAAGGCCTGAGGAAGGAAGACATGCTTCTCAGGTGACGTCACAAGGTCACTCTGGTTTGTATGTACAGGATGAAGTGGGACGGGCTAAGGACAAACTGGGGAGACGATGATTCTGCACATTTCGCCAGTGCCACCCCAGGCCCCCGGGCACAGGTGGCAGAGTCCGGATCATGGCAGCTCTGTAAGGAACCCACCAGCACAAGCGCCTCCCTCTGCCAGGACTTCCATGTCCCAAGAGTCTGCCCCCTTCTCGGGGACCTAATCACAGCTATCGCAGGATTCAGAAGTTTGCTCCTGGCAATCAGTCATTTGCTTGGGGTCACCAGCGACTGGTGCAGCAGAGGGCTAAATGCATCGGAATCTGTGGGTTTGAGGTGTTTCAAAATTCTTAAATAGTTCTTTGATTCGTCTTAATTAAAAAACACACCACCACTATTTACTTTTAAGGAGCTCAGTGATGTAGCAAGTTGATTTTTTTTTTTTTTAAAGCACTGGCTTGTACAAGACTGAAAATATAATCTTGCTAAATATTTAAAAATCCATCACCAATTGAAATTTTCACCCTCTACGAAACGTAAGTCTGCTATGTAAAATTAGCCAAAAGTGAGGATAGGTGAAATTTCATTAACAGAACACGTTGACTGCTTTCTCTGCCGGCTCAGTGTGTCCCGCAAGGATCGCCTTTGCTGGGAGCATTAACAAGCACCGTGCCATCGCATAGGAACGTTCTCCTGCCTGCTCTTTTACTACGTTAGCCCAGGCCCCAGAGTCACACCCACCACCGTCCATTCCCTGGAGCTTCCAAAGAATGACAGAGCTGGGATGTAAGGGATTTGAAGCTAGATCTGTCCACAAAACATCTGAGCACACCAGCTCTTCCAATCTACCTCGGGCCCCCTCTTCAGATCAGAAGGAGAAAATCCAAATGCCTCTCGTGGCCAGGCAGGTAGTGCCAAGGAACAGGGCAGGTGGTACGTGCGTGTGTGTGTGTGTGTGTGTGTGTGTGTGTGGACTGAGCAGCAGAGCACAGGGAGGTGGAGGGGGCACTGGAGAGGACGGCAGCTACTTGGTTCGAGAGAAATTGCAAGATCGACATTTTATGATTCAGCATTGAAAGTTAGTTCGAGTTTGCTTGCTGTAAGAACACCATAGGGGCAAGCAGGTCACCAGCTCTCACCCTTCGTGACTGCATCGTCTTTGGCACAGCACTGGGAGCTAAATTCTGCAGGGTTATTTTCATAAGTGTGACAGCGCCCTGGGGAGAGCAAGGCAGAGGCTTCGTTAACACCTTCAATACCAAGGGCGCCTCCCTTGCAGGCAGCCTCCGTGGGCTGTGGACCGCAGCCCCGCTCCCAGGCGAGGCAGAGCCGCTCCCTGAGCCGCACGAGGTGTTTCTGCTCCCAGGTGCCCAGAGAGCAGGCTTCGTTTCTCTCCTGGGCGGCTGCGCCCCGAGCGGCTGCTTACCCGTTTGTCGATGTCATTGTGCTGGAGCTGCACAAAGCGGGCGCTGATGGCGGCGATGTAGCTCTGCTGGTTGGAGAACGCCACGCGGCCGGCACCTTTGGGGTACTTCAGCTCTGGGTCCGTATCGATGCCAGCATAGCAGACGCCGCCGTACAAACGGTCCATGATCATTGCCAGTTCGACTGCAAGAGAACGAACACGATTCCGTATGAGTGTTTAGAAGGAACTCCTGACCAGGAGGAGCAGGAGGAACTAACTATTTAAGAATCATGCAGTGTCAACTAAGGAACAGGAAACCCATGTGAAGTATCGTGAAGAGTGTCCACATCAGTCTTACAACTTCAAGTAGGGGAGGAGATCCTCATAAGCTATTTGAAAATTAAAAAATTAAAAAATAAAATAATTTTCACTCACACACACACACACACACACACACACAAATTTGCATAATCAGAAACAGTAACAGTACTGAAGGGATGCTGTATCAGTAATCCTCTTGTTCTAACTTCTGACTGCGTAGTCTACTGGAGAGGGCCCTGGGTAGGCAAAGCAGTTCGCGATGCCCTAACCAGTTATTAAGAGACAGCCCTACTTATACTGACCTCTGAGACCAAAAGCAATTACTGAAGTTACACTGCTACGGTTACCATTAAGTTGTACGGAGAATTAAGTCATCATTTTAGCTAGAGGCACTATGTTTACAGCCTGACAGTAACAAATCTCTACCCCTGAAAAAAATGACATTCAGAGTGTATTTTATCCCAGTGGAGTAACCCCCACACTAGCCTCTGACAGGAAATTCTTAGTAATACTAGTAATGATAGCAGCAGCAATGAACGTTTACTGAGGACTTTCAGCGTGCCAGGAAACACCAGGCTGCTACAGGGGCAGTAAAAACATACCCATCCTGCACCTGCTAAAAATCCAGGGGTTTAGTCTGCAGGCCTTGTCACATTTCTCCTATAGATATCCTTATATTTGCATATTTAAGATATGCAAATATAAGGATATCTAAAGGTGTGATATTCTAAAATTATCCTCACCAAAAAGGCACCATGGAGAGAAATGTAGCACTTACTTACCTGGACCCAAACTGCCTGAAGGTAATTGTTTACTTGATACTAGACAGCACCTCTTCCAGGTATGACCATTCCTTTCAGGCCATTCACAGAGTTTAAGTCCAAAAGACTTAGCCCTCACCCTGGGGAATGACCCACGGACCCACTTCCCTCAAACGCTGACGGGTGGTGTTTGGAAAGGAGGTGCAGTGAGGAAAGATGGTGACCGGGGCCACCGCCAGTGGGCAAAGCCCGTCACAGCGCAGAGCCCCGCGGGAATCGGGATCTGAGAGAAGAAAACAGCACCGCCCGGTGGGGCAGAGGAAGAAATCTGTAGCGGACACTCGGCCGAAAGGCACAAGAACCCCACCGGGCTCTACACGCAGAAGGAAAGCCGAGCACTACCGGGCTCCTGTGCTAGGAAGCTGCCGAGGCAGTAAGAAAAGCCATGACAGAAAGGCTGTCTTTTTTCTTCCTTTTTAAACATATTTTTGTTGATTTCAGAGAGGAAAGGAGAGGAAGAGAGATGTAGAAACATCAATGATGAAAGACAATCATTGATTGGCTGCCTCTGCATAGCCCACAGTGGGGATGGAGCCTGCAACCTGGGAATAAGGCCTAACCGGGAATCGAACCATGACCTCCTGGTCTGTAGGTTGATGCTCAACCACTAACACACACCAAACGGGCCTGTCTTTTTTCTTAACTTCAAAATTTCTTCCCATTCTAGAGTGCCTAATATGGATGACTTTCCTAAGTGCCCATTTTTAATAGGAAGAGTGACCTCCAACCAACAGGTAATTTTCAGAAGGTGAGGAAAAAAAGCTAGCAATCACTAAGTCCAAGAATATGTGCTTAGGGGAGAAAGCCATCCCAATGACCCCATTATGATCAGAACGATCGAGTCATGCCAGCCAAGGGAACCCTGCTGATTGGCACTCAAGTAGACCCTGACTACAGTCAAACAATGCCATAATGATGGGGCACATACTCTGAATGCCAGGGTTCAGTGGGTCCTTACACTTCATTCCAACAACCTCTGATGGCTGGAGGGCCTCCTTACCTCACTAATGTTATTCCAGTTACAGACACGCCAAGAAACTGAAGGTAGGATTCATTCATTGTAGCCATTCATGAACTTCCCTTTCTGGTCAAATGGGATTAGTAAAAATAAGTAACCTCAGGGCCTGGAAATGAAACACAAATTTCCCAAAGACCTGGCTTCCTCTGGAATGGAATAAGATAGTAAACACCCCCTCAGCCTGGTGGGTGACCAGGAGATGAATGCTGCAAGGACCGAATGGCACTTGCCTTCCACCCTTCGGAAGCACTCGAGAAAGGGCCTGATTGAGAAAGAAGGGACACTGGCTGTAGGCCTGCAGCTCCAGCTGATGAGGAGCGTTCCTCAGCCACAGCTTCTTCTGTAGCACAGTGGCCTCCGAAGGAATCCTGGGGGGGGCTCCCAGATGCCAGAGAAGGCTCCTTCCACGAGCAGATGCTTTCCTTTGCTTTGCAGATCTAGCTGCCGGGAAATCATCTTCATGTGCCAAAGATTGGGTCATGACTTACAATGCTGGCAGCTAGGTACTTTTGATAGGAAACAGAAACTCTCACTCACTATGCTTTTATGAGAATTATGAATAAATCATTTCCACGTACAAGCTGCTTACACACAGTTACTTTCTTGGCCACCAAAAAGTCTGCAGACATTTGAGCCAGTGAAGTCTCACTCAAGGGAAGAGCAATTCGTTGAGAAGCTAGAAGCAACCAAGGTGAATAGAGAGAGAACTTTTGAGGAAAAGAATATGAAGATTTTCTATTTCTCTTGCTACCCGTATCTCTCTTTTAATGACAAAAATAAATAAATAAATAAATAAATAAATAAATAAATAAAAATCTAACACCGTGAACACCCCTGAAGAAAGAAATAATGATGATCGAAGAACTGTTGTTTGTATTTGGTCCTTTACTCCATTAGCAAGTCTTCACTAAGAGCACACTTTCTGTGGGCTACACTCACACACCACGGAGATATGTCATTTCAGTGGCTCCGTTAGCACTTAGAGTGACATTACTGAGAAAAATAACCACTTGGTAAATACAGCTTTGGGGGAAGAAGGTAATTGAATTCGCCCACTAAGTAGATGACTAACAGAAACGCAGAGCGAGCCTTCCTCAAGGCCTTTTAAGTTTTCAGCCTGAAATAATTTTTTCATAAAGCCAGCACCAGTTCACCTATACATGTCAGAATGTACAACTGCTTTTAGAGACTGGGTTTTTTAGACACTTGCTATTTGATAGTGAGTATCATCAGTTCCTGTAGGGAAGTCCCATATAAATTCCCTCCCTCTGATGGGGGCAAGCTGAACCAAGAAGAGGGCTACTGACTCCAGTACTTGGGAGGAGAGAAAAGTAGAAGAAAGGCAGAAAAGATGTGGCAGAAGTCAACTAAAACCTGCATGGGCTTATCGATGTCTTGTGATCTCAACCCTGCTCATGAAACGTGAGCCTTGGATCAAAGGTTTCAACGTACTTAGAGAGTGTGGGCAAACCACCTACTAAGCCTGTGACAGTGACTCCTCATTCTCAACCATCCTCTGCAGAGGCCGAGGACACTGTGGCTCTCAGAATCACATTATCTACATTTAACCTGAGGAAGGTGAGGTATACAGGTGAAGGCTGGGATTCAGACAGATGGAGGTGACAGCAGGCATAGACAAGAGTCCATGAAGAAGCCAAGAATCTCCAAATTACTTTTTATGTTTTCTTTCCTATCCAGACAAGTGTTCACAGGGTCTGTCTGGTCACCACAGGGGCAGGAAATTAGCAGGTCTGGTCGCTCTATCCAAGGGCATGCTGCACTTTGGATAAGCTCTGTGTTCCTGAGATACTCAAGTCACGTCATAACTACCTGCTCCATTATAACAGCAACACCACTGTGGGTCTTGCTCACACACAGCTCTTGTGATGACCTTCACTGTGCCACCATCAGAGGGAAACAAGAATACTGGAGCTGTATGTAGCAGAGGGCATCCCCCTGAGATCCTCCAAACTGTGGTGACTATGCCTCTGACATTCAATCTGAACCCCAATTACGGTTCCTTGGATTTGCTCCTGATTCTTCACAGAGTTCTGAAAGGGGCTTTAATTCACCAGAGAGGAAACCATGATGACTCCCTCATCCGACCCCAGGGTCCTGTTCCTATCCTCTAGTTGGGTTGGAAAGCCAGCCATCAGGCAATGGTTAAGTCTCAGATACTATGAGAACCAAATGTGGAGGAGCAGGAATGAGGATTCCCAAGGGGGAATAGCAACACACTCATCCTTCCAGATCGTAAATTGTGAATCTAGAAGCCACATTTCTTCTCTCTGGATCTAAGAACAAAGCAGGGAGGAAAGAGGCAGAAAGCACCTCAGGAGAAGGAGGAGGTCTGGACTTCGGAATGAAAGGAAGATCCAACTTAAAGGTGGACTTTCTAGGTTTGCAGCTGCCACGTTGGTTCACAAGGGCACTTCACTCATCTTAAATGGGGACATGTGCTCACAAGCTTTTACTCTGCATCAGATGTTGGGAAATTAGAAATATTTTCAAATAAGTGATATGAACAACCAACAAAGTCAGAGAAAGAGAGTGTTCAACTTGATTAAGTTGAGCTGGTACCAAGGTAACTGTTACTACTGTTACAGAGACACTATCTCAAACCTCAGCTTGATAAAAAAGCTCACTGCTGTGCAAAGAGCCCCAAACTTGTTGTCTGGAGATCTGAGTTTGAATCTTGGCTTTTTCAATCATAGCGGCCTTGGCCAATCGCTCCCTCTGAACCTTGCTTCCTTATCTCTACGAGTTCTTCACAGGGTTATCACAAGGATTAAACATCCATGAGCGCTCTGAACACACCGCTGAGCACAGAGCGGGGCTCAAATGTTCCGTTTGGTCCAGGGGTGGTTCTGGCCTCTACTCATAAATCTTTGCTTAACATGAACTTGGCTCGGTTTTTGCTCCATAAACACCAGTTCTTCCCAGGCTTACTCTGGCTTTATGCTAACGTTACTCAACCTGCCCCCAGATATGGCAAAGTTTGACAACAACTGTGGAGAAGAGAGAACACAAATGCATACTAACATTAGAAAACCCTTCACCCTCAGGGCAATGCAGCTCATCAAGTCTGTATGCCAAATCTGGAGTTTGTCTGGGACAACTCGTACTGAACTTGGGACTCAGTAAGAGAAAAAGCTCCTACTACTGAGAAACATGACGTAAGATGATTTCTGCCTGTTACCACTTCGTGGAACAACAACAAAAGCGGGTTTACAACACTCCTACTTCCTGAGTCGCAAATCAGAAGATGGCTCCTGATACATGTGAGCTCTCAGAATGCCTGTACAGAATGTCCGAAATAAGTGCTCTTGGGAAAAATGCAGGCTGTATGTTCTTTAGATGGATGCAACAGATCACTGAATATCTACCTTAGTCCTCCCCCCCCCCCCTTTATAGAAAATCCATGCTCTCAACAATCAGAGGGAGAAAAAGGCAGAGAAGGGAATGTTAGGATTCATCACAGAATATCAGACAGGAAAGAATGATCAAAGCCACAGCTAGGAAAGGACTAAGAAGGATGAGCAAATGGTAGGTCGGCTCCAAGGACTCAGATGGGACCTCTGAAGATCGAGCTGTGAGCAGGACCCGGACTGGGGCACTGTCACGAGGAAGTCATGAAGGCGAAGGACAGCTCACATGCCTCTAATCAGAGGGCATGGAGGGCTTCTCAAGCTTGACCAAAGTTGGAAGGGGCTGGGTCCCAAAGCTTGATCACCGAGGTGATATTCAAATGAGATATCTAAGCCAAGAAGTTAGAGTCAGAGAATAGTCACGTTTATAAATTGTGTGTGTGTGGGGGGGGGGGGGGTGCGTGTACAGGTGCCAGATGCCTCATTCTCTCCTCTTCCCTGGTAGCCTCCTCATAATCCCCAAGCCTGGCACTTATTTCCTCTCAGAGCAGAGAGATATATTCTAGGGAGGCCCCAAGGCCATAGGGATATGCAAAACAGGGCTATTTCTGTACTGAGGGAGACTCAGGAAGACCTGCTGCTTGTGTTACTGGAACGGAAAGTGAAAATACGCTGTGTACTTCCAGGTGGAGAACCAGACAGACTACCTACCCCTTTCCCTGTGCTCCCTCTGAAGAAGGATGTACGTTTCAGCCACATGGTGGCATGGTGAGTCTACCTATAGCCTTCCCTGGCCTGGGGGTGAGGAGAGGGGGAAGTGAAAGGAGAACAGGAGCTGAGAAACACCAGGAGACTTCATTCAGGCAAGCTGTCCTTGGCTTGCCACCAACAAAGGAGGGATGGGAGGGATGGGAGGGAGGGAGAGGAGACGGTAGGAATGTGTATTGCTTGAACTAAAGAAACCAACAGGCAATCTAGCTTTGGGTAAATGCATCTAGGTTTTTCCACTGATATTTTCCCATTTTCATTTATCTGGGTCTGTGAGCCTCCCCCCCCGCCCCCCCCACACACACATATGAATTTATAAAAAGGAAGGTTTGTTAAATGACCAGGAAGAGAAAGCTAAACTCAGGCTAATACTGCTTAAAAAAGGGTGCCTGGTTTCTTTAGAAGGGTTTGTGTATTTCTGTCTGGTGGGGTAAGGACTATCTGTATTAATTTATTAGTGACAATGATCTTGTCTTAAGAGAAATATCCAAGATAAATATCTTCACAAGAGCCAAAGGAATAATTCCTGAGTGATAACATTTTAGTCTCCATTCCATGTTAAAGGACCACTTTTGGTGCAGGATAAGGTGAAAAATCAATCTGGACACCTAAAATTTCACTTGCTGAATACTGTCACCCATCTCTGGTCCAGGGTCACCCTGCCTAGAGGATCTGAAACAGGTCTGAGACTCTTCAAAATTCCATAACCACAATGCCCTCTGGAAATAAAATTTAAAAAAAAATGGGCCTGAAGTATTTAAAAACCAACTTTGAAAAACATTATGTTAAAGGGCATAATTTAGCATCACTTCATTGAGTTTCTTAGCATTCTATGGACACATTTCTCGCCTTCTGTCCTGAAATCAGCTGCTCTGCAGATGATGACTGTTAACGGGACAGAGAGATGTTCATTTGGTTTGGCATGGCCTGCGCTCGCTCAGCGTCACCCACACAGTGGAATGCTCAATAAACATTATTGTTCAAGCGAACTGCACTTGAGCAAGAACACGGTCCAGCTGAACATGGCCTAGTGAAGTCAAACAAATTCCTTCAAAAACAGCCCTCTCTTCCAGGGCACACACCAGCCCCCGGAGCTCAGGGTGCTTCAAAGAAGCCCGATTCTCTGCACATGAGCAAAAGCTGCAGACATCAGATCTCTTTGTTCAGATTGCATGGCATCCAATATGGAAGTCTTGGATAGATAGGAACTCAGATGGAATCTGTGAAGATTGAGATTCCATTCTAAGATGCCAACAGAGATGACTTAGCCATCTAGAAACCATAACTTAGCTACAGTTATAGGAGGTGCTGGCATGGATGGACACTTCCATCAGAGAAAGTGACTGTGGGTTACTAGCTACATTAACTGCAGAAATAAAACGTAAAGACACAAATTTTAGCTTATCTTAAAACAATAACTTAAAAAAGACTTAGAAAGGGGATAGCATCTAGGTGGGGAACACAAAATCCCACCTCTGATGATAAATTAAATGTAATTCTTGCCTAATCCTAGAATTTGCAACATCTTGCAGACACAGAGTGTTAAAAGAAAGAATATAATCTAGCACCTTGGATTTCCTGCCCTGTGGTGTCAGTGTGATCTTAGAAAAGTGTGAAAACAGAGTTATAAAGGGAAAATCATATAGAAGCTCTTACCTATCCTTTCAAATGATTGAAACAGAGAGAGTAAAGGGTGAATAATAAAAAAGAAAATTTAATTTATAAGCTATTGTGTCAGTGACTTAAAAATAGACACAGGAGGCTAAAGTCAGTTCTGTTATTTTTATAACTACGGGGGTTTTTCTTTTGGATTTTTTTCCCCTTCAGATTCCAATCTGGAGGGGGAAAAAAGAGGGGCTAGAATATTAAAACGAATATGTGCTCGCAGTTAGGTGCAAAAAGAATAGCTAGACTACTAATAATATGAATGTCCATTTACACTGTTAAAAGACAGCAGAGGGGATTTTTCTCCCACTCCGCTCCTAAATGTAATGCCAGTTGGAAAAAGCCAGGAATATTCCACAATGTCCCCACCCACATCTCCTTTTCTGAAGCATCTGCAGCTTAGAAACAAGGGCTGCATCTACCGCCCCTGGTGCTGCTCCCGGTGGAGTGGGCCCTCCCAGGACTTCCTTCTCGGAGGGCAGGTCCTGGAAGGGGCGGGGCGTTTCTGCTGCTTTGCTTTCTTCCCTTTATAGAGTTTCCAGGAAAATGAAAGTAAGACCCAAAGGGATCTGACTTTCTGAAATACCACAAAATTGCAAACTCCACAGTCACAATGAATATGTTTTAAAATCCTTCAAAATGGAATAATGCACATATTTTTTTTATGCAGGCCCAACGTGATCACTTAGGACTAGGTTGAAATTGAGATGTAAATAAACATATTAAAAATGTTGAGGGATGTTCGGGATTAAGAACCCATCAAAGTCACAGAGCCAAGTAGCTGTAGGCACGTTTTACATTCCATAATGGCCCTCACAACTTGACCTTGGTCATCTCTGCTTTCTCGTTTCTGTTTTAGGTTGGACTACGTCCACCAGCTTACAAATAGCACAGAGATAATGTGCTTTCGCAGCTACGGTGGCAACAGTAACCTATCTTTTCATCTTCCTTTAAAAACACACACTCAATTATTTTAAACATTTTAAAAACTTAGTTCCTGCAAGTAATTTTGTTATATTCCACTAGCAATAGCACTGATCCCCAACTGATTAGACTTGTGTGTGGGTTTATATATCATGTCATCAGCTCAGCATCCCTCCCACTGCTCCAATCAATTATGCCCCATCCCAGCAGGAACAATGATTGCATCATTGGGGAAATAAAAAAGTAAAATAAAAATAAAATAGGGAAGCTTTATAAAAAGTCATCATAAAGATGCCTGAATATATAACTCATTTTTCAAGCTGTGTAAGGGAAAAAAAACAAAAAGGAACCTGTTTCACTTGGAAAGAGCCCAGTCTGACACTCAGGGGCATACTTTCCAGCAGTGGTGTGACTGTCACTGAGGGCACTCGGCTGCCTGGCACATATGGGTAACTTCTCTTTCTGTCATCCATGACAATGCTAACTGGCATGAGAAGGCACACTGCCAAATGCATTGGTACTATTTTTAAACCATGTGGTTGCATAGGAAAGTACTAAATAGAATTCATCCTTTCAAAATAACATTTAAATGAAATTCACTCTTGCACCATCAGGAAATAGAACATTTTTGGGAGGAAACATTCAATTTTGAAAGCATCAGCTCAGCGAAACAGACAGGAGAGCCTTTTTTTTTTTTTTTTTTTTTTTGACTGTGTATGACTGACCGGAAACCTCGGGAACATTGAAGACTAATGCCTTGGGGATTTTGTGGTTGTGGTTGTTGTTGTTGTTGTGGTGTTTACTATTTCCACTCACCAGCTCGAAGGGGTCGTGGAACTCCCCCAACAAAGATAGTTTTTCTGGGGTCCAGAGGCTGAGAACCATCCATTACAAAGTCACTGTCACTTAGGTTCCACGGTCGGATTTGCACCTGAAAAAAAGTCGTTTACTTGGTCCTTACTTCATTTCCATCAACCCCAAAGGAGAATAAGGTGACTAAAGACAAACCCACTGATTTGTGCATTTTACAGCATACACAACCCAAACAAAAATCCAGTTATTATTTAATGTAATCTGCAGTAAGTGCCATTCGATGGAACTCTTGGGAAATCTCCTTGTAGGTACTATACTCAACACTCAAGAGATATACCATGAAACCTTCACACAAAAAAAACCATCTGTGGCTTTAAAAGAAAAAAAAAAAAAGCGGTCTTTTAGAGAGAGATTCTGGGCTTTGGATCAGATCCATGTTAGCAAAAGACAGACTCTGTATAACCTGTCACAGTGTAGCTCTTAGCTTTGTAAGCGCTCACCTGAAGGCAGGCAATGGAAACATTAGAAATATTTTTCTAAAACTTATCTGTATGTCTGGCTTTTAAATTCTCATCACCCCCTAAAATTAAAACATTGATCTCTCAGCAATAGGATTTCACATGGATTAACACTCATCAAGTTAGCACGGAATTACCAGGAATATCAAATTAGTGCAGTTACCTACTTTGGATTTATCTGATTTTTCTAAACAAGCCCGGGTAAATAAAGGCAAGCCTAGAAACTGAAGTGGATTCACAGAGTAGAAAAAAGGAACCTTCGTGACATAGTTCTTTCTATTTGTTATGTCTCTTGGCTGGGAAACCAACTTCCTGTCCATTGTTTGTACTGTTTTATCAAATGATTTAAAAAAAAAAAAAAAAAAGGTATTGCATCAGAATTTGAACCTTAAAATATAGTCCTTTCCATCCATAACTGGATTATCAAAGAAGAGCTTAGAACAAAACCACAAAAAAGCCCTCGCATGAAAGGTGAGTTCGGCACTGCCTGAGAAAAGGACCAGTCATGTGAGTTCCAGGCGGAGGGCTGGGGTAGAAGCAGAGAAACCGGGGTGTCCTTCAGGAACGTGCCTCACCTCCCCTCTCATAGATTGGGACAAGGACACAAAACAGCTGCATTTTCATTTCCTTAGCAGCAACAGGATTCTTCAGTTCCCGCCGATGCTTGACTGTCAACAGTTAATGCAACGAAAGGCATAAGAACATGTCTTACGTGGTTTGGCTTATGTGTAGGAGTACTCCCGTGTGAAAGGTAGTTTCAAAACACGTTGAATGTCAACTCTAAAACTGGCACTGCTCAGAAACAGTCTACGCGGTCCTTATAATTGCTACAAAATCCACCCCCTCCTAACGTTTTGCCTTTGATGACCCTGTTCCCTTCACTAGTCGACATAGAAGCCAAAAGTCTCCATGTTCCCCCGTTTGCAATTCTGTGAACAGGCCTTGCTTTAGTTATATCACATTGGGGGGGGGGGGGGAAATTTTAAAATAAAAACCAAAAAAAAAAAAAAAAAAGCCTTCATGAGCCCCCATTATTAATTTTCTATTTAAAACTCAATTTCCAGACACTGTAATAACAACAATTCTAATGTCACCAACAAAACAAAAGTAGGATGCATCTTTTTCTACACAGAGCCGTCTCTTCGTTTAGTCTTATCACTAATAACGTAGTTAAGGCAGCTTCGGGACCTGTCCTCCAATAACTTTCCAGCAATTCAGTTTGATCCTGGATCACTTTGCTTCACAAATGGCATCAACTCCTGTGCAGTAAGTACCCACACTGCACTGGCTCCATTCAACCCGGGGACGGAAAGCGCAGTCTGCTGTGCCAGCTCCAGGTCACCGCCGCCCCGAGGAGCTGTGCGGGCCTCACACCTTCTCGCCGAGAGCTCCCTGACTGCCCCCTCCGCCCACCTCACCTCATTTCATCTCACACGACCCATTCCGCTACCCTATTCTTGGCGTGACAGTGTAGGTAAAAATACAGGGAGAGGTCTCGGAAGGCAGGAATAATTAGCCCTGTTCATAAAACCCACACCCCCCGGCTGACACCAGGAGGCAGCTCCTGGGAGCTCGCACCGCTGCAAAGTCAGAGCGATGCCCGCGCAGGCCGGCCTCAGCTCTCTGCACGCCAGGCCCGAGGGAAGCCTGTGGTCCCATCTGCACCCAGGCGCTCCGTCCACACTCTGACATACAGGTCCTCTCTCACACAAGGCGTGTTCCCCATACCGGGGCTTATTCTCAGGGCCTGATGGCCATGTCTTTTTTCTTTCGGACTCACTCTTTGAATATGTTTTCTGCTCCTTTAATGTATTTTCCACCCCCACGTTTCTCTATTTTTTAAATGCCATTCTTTGTAAGCTCGACTCAAATATTTTGTAGAAAGGGGGTGAAACATAAATGAAAGAACAGCTTTTTAAAAATTTTATTATTATTACCTTTGTGCCCTTAATAATTAGTTTTGAGAATGGATAAAATTAGAATTCTGTCCTATTTCGATATACATTTACCAGAGCAACACAGGTTTTACATAGACGGGGTCCGTATGTGTGTGTGTGTGTGTGTGTGTGTGTGTGTGTGTGTGTGTTGTCAAATAGGCTGTTGCAGGCTACACTCCGGGCAGGAAAAGCCTCAACACTCCGAGGACAAATACACGGATGTCACTAGAAATGGCGAAGGTTCTCGTAAATGAGCCTGACACTGACTCTAGAACGGATTCTCCTTCCTGGAGAAACCTGATCGCACTTGCTCATGAAGGGGAAGATGCTCCCCCCACCTCCCCCCAGCTCTTCAGCGTGCCATGGGTCACACAAAACCCGGGTCTGCAGGGCCGGGCAGGTGGCATACCCGTGTCAGGCCACCAGGCAATGTAGGCAGTCAGTGACACACTGAATAAATCACTCCCTTTAAAAAGTTTTCTTTTTTTAAATTTATTTTTAAATCACTCCTTTGAAAGGAAGCAGACACTTCTCAGCTCCAGCAAAGTAGTTATCATTTGCAAATGTGCTGTCAGACATGCCCATTTTTCAAGAGTAGCTGGATTTTTAGGTGAAGCTTCAAGATTGTAAAATGCTGGGAACGAATTCAAATGTTCACATCACGGTGCAGGCTAAGCCCAGCGACCTACAGGCCGGTCTGTGCTGTGGCTGGAAAGGCTTAGCTCCCTCACAGCTCGCCATGGAGAGCTGTGCTCATAAGCACTCCTGAGAGACAATACACAACGGCTTTCCTTTAAAGGGATGTTGTTGTTTTTGTTTTGTTTTGTTTTTTTAAGCATGAATAATAAACTTGAATAAGAGATAGCTGTTCAAAGAATTGAAAGTTTTCTGACTAAATAAACTACACAAAAGAGATGTTGACAATTTTTTTCTAGAAAAATACTTAGTAGGATAAAATACCTAGTTATCATGCTATTTAGAAACTCAAGTTTCATCTTAGTTTTACAACTAAAAGTCATTATTCATAGGAGTAAGATTAGGCCACGTGCTACAGAAAAAACTTGAGAAATGCAATATGGGCCACTTATTTTGACAGGAAGCATAACATCATTTCCCCAAAAGAAAATTTTATTGAAGATTTCAGAAGTCTATGTTATAATTAAATACAAAATGCATTTTATTATATCTTTAATAACAGGTTCTGAGTTTTAGAAAAATCAGTTTTTGTTTTTTATTTTACTTTTTTTTAATCCTCACCAGAGGATATTGTTTTAAATTGATTTTTCAGAGAGAGACGGAGACCTCAATTGGTTGCCTCCTATCAAACCCACAAGCTAGCTACGTGTCCTGACCAGGAATCGAACCTGAAACCTTTTGGTATACAGGATGATGTTCTAGCCAACAGCCACCCAGCCAGGGCAGTAAGGATGATTTTTAATACAAACCTCAGGGCTTCAGGTTTCTGAACACGACTAAGCCTCCCTACAGCCCTAGAATTCTCTCAATTTAGAGCACTATTTAGAATGTAGATATCCATCTACCAATAAGGAGCTCTCTTGAGCTCATTCTGAATGTCTCGCCCTGTCTTTCCTCCTTGCCTGGCCATCTCCTTGGACTGAAAACAGCAGTCACATGAACGTCCTGTGCTCAGTGCCTCCTTTTCATCTGCTCATCGCAAGGCCACTCCAAAAAGCAGCCCAGCTTTTCAGAGTCCACAGTGCAATCCGGCGGCGGCTGGCTCAGGGAAGCCACCCCACCCCAAACAGCCTCGCCGCCACGCGTGGCTTCCCATAAAGCACAGGGCTCAGACCCCGGCCCCGGCCCCGTTTCCTTTGTCCTCTTTCCAACACTCTCAAACGCCTGCTCAAGCTCTCTTCAGGAAAAAGTCTCCCTTTTTCGCTGCCTGATCCTACAATCCTTTCACTCTACGTGAATCAGAAAAACAAGGCTGCAGAACCATCAGGACCGCTCTGCCCCAGCAAGCCTCAGCATCCCGGCTCCCCTGACAGCCACGGTGAGTCAGCGGAACCGGGCCGCTGGCGCGCAGCTGCGGTGGCTCAGCTGCAGAGGCAATGAACTCAGGCCGCTCCGGCTGTCAGCAATCCTATTTTAAGCCCCACGGGCCTCACAGAATGACTGGAGTGCCCCACAAATAAACTAGTGTGTGGTCTGTGAGGCCTCTTCCTCTCTTCCACGGCATCAGGGGTTGTTTTATTAATGCTGACCACCAGAAAACTAGCAGCCACACGGCAATAACTGTGGTGTGGACTCTTCAAAGCGCATTCATATCTGACATCTCACTTCAACCTAACTTGTGCCACACGGCTCCCTGACAAAAAGGTCAGTCCATCTCTAGGAGTTTGGATGCTGCCCATGACCCCCAAGTGCTGCCCTCCAACCAATGGAGAAGAGAAGGAGACCCTTCCCTGTAACTTCTGGGGCAGGGATCGGCAAACTCAGCAGTCAGCGGAGCCAAATATCAACAGTACGACGACTGAAATTTCTTTGGAGAGCCACATGTTTTAAACTTAAACTTCTTCTAATGCCACTTCTTTAAAATAGACTCGCCCAGCCGAAACCGGTTTGGCTCAGTGGTAGAGCGTCGGTTTGCGGACTGAGAGGTCCCAGGTTCGATTCCGGTCACGGGCATGTACTTTGGTGTG